GATCATATATTTATATACTAAAAGAAAATTGAACTCTCAAAATTTCTAGAATTAAAAAAGAATTTCACAAAGGCTTTTCTCTAACTAACCAAACTCTTTATATTCTTTTCAAAAAAAGCTTTCTGTATTCATTGTTATAAGGTTTTTGGCTAAAGCATGGGAATTAAAAACTCATAATTGTTGCTAAATATTACAATATTTTATAAGCAGAGGCGGTTCAATAAGTATTAAAATCTTTGTGCTAACCGTAAAAAAATGGTGATTAATTATTCATACTACAAGAAAATTGAAACCTCGAAATTTCTAGAATTATAAAAGGGTTTCAAAAGAGGTTTTATTTAGTACTCTCTATCTTCATTTTTATAAGTTTTGGCTAAAAGCACGGGTTAAGAAGTCATAATGAAAAGAAAATTTTAATTTAATACTTAATGAAAATCAATCCAACCATTCAAAGTAAATACTATTAAATACAAAAGTCATAGCATGTATTTTGCATAGAAACTTGTAGGAATCAAACAGAATGAAATCTAAACATCTTATAAGAAAAACATAAGAAATACATACAGAAAAAGTTAAGAAATTGAACCCTCAAAAATTTTAGGACCTTCAAAATTTCTCAATTTTTTTTTTTTTGGTTGTGTACAATTGCTCCTCCTGCACATGTGAAGTTATGCGAGGGCTAGAACTAATCTAAAACCAATGTGCGTTATAACAGAGTATTAAAATATTATTGTGAAATAAGGTAATATGGGTAAGCAGTAGTGCCAGTTTTCGGTGGACCGGGGCAACCAAATAGTCGAGCCAAATCTCACGCGTGACCGCAATGCTTGATAATAGGTTGATTCTTTTTAGCAAGTTTTTGATGGAAATGGCAAATAGGTTTTTTTGTTTTTTTTTTGCCAAATGGGTTTTCAATAGTAGAGTTGTTTGTTTTTTAATATTGTAGGAAAAAGGCAAGGAACGTGCATCCTCATCGTCCACATACCATTTCCAAATGAGACAGAATCTCATAAAAGCGGTAAGGTGTCAAGTCATCTTCATATAAAAGTCCCCTTTTTGTGTCCTTTTGATTTTTTTTTCAATATTTTCACTTTGGAATCATCCCACGACAGTGATCATACACAATGATATTTTTTCCCTTCAAAATGATAGAAACTTATCGTACTTTTTAAGTATTTTCTGACATTTCTAGTCAACCGAATATCGTGGAAATATCATAGGAACGAAACTGAGATACATGATATCAGAAGAATTTACAAAAAAGTAGTACTAGCAATTATTTCTAGGCCTAAAATTATATAAATTTTCTTAAGTAAACATCAATATTGTTTGTCGAGTTGGAAATTTCGGTTGTGAAAATTCCCGAAACAGAAAGCTTTAAAGATAGCATAAAGAAAAGAAACGGTGAACTTTTGAACCTTGATCTGCCTCAAACAGATCATTCCTCCAAACAGTTTCTTATTTGGATATATATATATTAACTTCTAACCATCTACATACCCTTTACTTCTTTAGTGCCAAAAAAAATTAAAAATTGTTTATATTTACAAAGAAAAACATCTCTAATGTATTTTTTATATCTTTATTTTGTTAAAGGTTTTACTTTATATCTTATCTCTGCTTTTTAATTCTTTTGTTAATATAATTTATATGCAATATGACTGGTAAAACTTGTGTTGTGCGTGGAATCTTGTCCTCCTCTCTTGAAGTAAAAATTGCTTCAGGTATGTATATATTATTGTTTTATATAATTCGAGTGAGCCAGATAAACCTCGACTAATTCCAAGGATGTGCAAGTTTGGTGGATACAAAAACACCATATAAGATATTCGGCTAAATCCTAGAGCCAGCCAACTAGTCTAAATGTGATTTTTTTTAATATGTATGCAAAAATGTTAAACATCACTTATAATGAAACAGAGAAGTATTTAAAAGAAGTGATGTATTTATGTGTGTATATATATACATAGATAGTTTGTTACAAATATATTTTGGAGTTAAAATATATAATTTTGTTGTTACTTTATTGTGGGTCAATAATGTACAGTATTTTTGTTTGTACAGGCCTAAAACCGATCATGAATGAAAACAAAAATGTTGTTTTCCAGTTTTATCTTAAAAGTCAAAAAAAAAAATATTGTGGTTCCAGAAATTTGTAACCCCATGAACATTGTCATAATTGATTAACCTTGCCATGATCGAACATGACCAAGTCCCTCAAATCCGTCATGAGTATTAGAATGGTTTACCATTATTTAAATTAAAGTACATATTCTCTTATCTATAGAATCAACACCAAATCAAATTATATGATAATTGAATTAAACCATAAACGTTTTTGCATATACGACACTGAACATGCTTGGTAGATTTAGTTGCAGGAAACGTGTAATCTTCCAACACTGTTTAATCACAATCACAAGCCTACATTATTAGCAAAACCAATGAAACGTGACGATACGATGTATAAGTATTGTATTTTACACGCACATACCAACGAAATCTAATCAATAACTGTCACTATTAATTAATAATAAAATTTTAACGGTTAAGAACTTACGATTGGAACAAGTTGGCATGGCCTGCCAAAAATGATATATACGTTTCCGTATGTTATAAATAACTCTGTTGCTTCGTCGGCACAGTCCACGTATGCTACATAAATAAATTGATACATGACAATACCAATGGTCCATATTCTATTCTTTTTTTTTTTGGGTTGAAAATGGTCCATAACTTACAATAATAACGACAAGAGCTTCTTCACGGAGCGATGAAGAAAGATACAACACAAATGGCGAAACTTTCCATGCATTTTTGGTTTTTGTCCCATGCATTTATAGTTCAACCCCAAAAAAAGGGATCTTACGGATGTCAACCAAAAAAAAAAAAAATCTTACTTTACTTGAGATAAAAGTTGTTAGAAGAAGTATAGATTTAAATTGTTTGGCTAGTTTTTATATATACCATATATATTGTTAAATTCACTCTAGAAAATAGAATTTTCTTTTTGAAGTGAACTTTCCATAGATTTTGGAAAGATAAATACTATATACACGTTACTTTTATCTACTATGTGATCGTTAACCATGCATGCCATAACACATGCTTCAAAAATCTCTTAACCGGCTTAGCTAGCTACTAGCCTACTAAACCGTCCTCTACAACCGTACGTACTTGGGCTGGTTTGCATAAGAACTTACTTGGTATTGTTGTTCGTTGATTTCAACCAAATTCGATGCGAGGAATGGAACGTCACTATTCGTCGAATTATCAGTTATATTCAAATTCGATGCGAGGAATGGAACGTCACTATTCGTCGAATTATCAGTTATATAATACGTCCGAAAGTTAATATAAAAACTTCCGAAAATTTTAGCACAAAATTTTATAATTATTGGCATGTTCACTCATCTAATTTTTGATCATCATATATAGACTTTAAATTTGACTAGACGCAAATACATTGTAATTAAAGTTTGTCACTGATAACTGCATATTTTTTTCGTTAGTGCATGTATTACTGAATATTTTGTAATGACGGCTATACTTAACTTGTTTGGGGGAGGGTGATGGCTTGTAATATAGAGAGAAGTTGTATTTGCATTGCTGCGCTAATCCTCGATATACAAAGGGTAAATATTAACGATTTCGAGAAACACACACAAAAAAAAAATTGCATACTAATTAAAATAATAGTTGTACACCACATTGAAACGTTTGTGGTTCGCATAGTCAACAAGTACTCATCTTTTTTATATAAAAATCATCAACAAATTCTATTCACATGGTACAAATTTTTCCAAAGAAGTTGTATTCAAAAATAGAGTTGTTTGCATAGAAAAACTATCAACGATTTCGAGAAACACAAAAAAAAAAAAGAAATTGCATACTAATTAAAATAATATCTGTACATTTGTGGTTCGCATGGTCAACAAGTACTTATCTTTTTTTTCTTGTAACTTCGTCAACAAATTCTATTCACATGGTGCGAATTTTTTCCAAAGACGTTGGATTCAAAAATGGAGTTTTTTTTTTTGTTTTGCTTTTTTCCAGAAGATGACATCAGTTAGACGACAACAGCTTTGAGTTTTACAGCGGAGATGACAACACTTTTGCGCAACCATGATATGATTGCTAAAAGAAAAGTCTTTTGTCGCATATCATGTTGAAAACAATAGGACTCGACACTTCTCTTTTAGCAGCCTAAAACATGTACTAAAGTAAAAAAATAGTATTTAATTTTCAAAGAACACATACTTATTTTTTGGGATAGTTTGCCAAATATATATATTTTTTTAACAGTTTGCCAAATATATTACAAAATCTGTAAGATTCAAAGAGGTTTTAAGTTCGAATGCTTAATTACATATTGAAGAACTGTAGAGGAAGTATCAAAAGGATTCTTTAACCCCAAGAAAACAACTCATTTACTTATTCAAATATAATTAACCTTTTTTGATAGGTATACTTTTGGAGACACGAAAACTATAGTTAATTATGAGCATAACAAGAGCATTACACGTAACAATTACTCTACGTGAGCTTATTGTAAAACCCTAATTAAGCACATAACATGTAAAATCGAACTAGAAAATAAAAAAAACTAGAGGACAGACGAAATGAAACCCGACATAATTCTTGAGTAATACATAACTTATGTTTCAATTGTTTGAAACTACAATTTTTGAGTCATAGAAATATAGCGTTATCCTTTAGCCTAATGAATCCACAACTTGCTTTCTCGTCCTCAGCTTTGGTTTCAGGTTTCGGCGATCATATAACCTTCCATCTTTAACCTTATCTACTATAAGACATTTTCTCCGGTCAAATGTTTCTGTAGACTTGGTGAATGAATTACTCGACGGTTACACTTACACTGAGAGATTCGTCAGATGGTAATTTTGGATCATGTCCTAGTTCGGCTTGTGATTTATTTGATGGGTAACTCATATTGAGTTATATAATAACACAAACTAGCTACCACCTTTGATTTAAAATTAATATAGAAAGACATTATTTGCAATTCTGTAAAATAGAAATGTAATCAGAGACAGATATTAGTTGGTTTATTTAAAAACAATACACACTAGATGCAAAAGTAAATGAACATACAAACACATAGAAACAGTCCAAACACTAATCAAGTTCCACAGTGTCCCCATCCAACAAACTCCAAAGTTCCTCAACGTCAAAAGCGGAAGTTGCCCCCTTTTCTGCTACCGTGGCTTCTGGAACGAGCGAATCTGGCTCTTGGCTCTCATCTAACAAATTCTCCCACCACTTCTCTCCATTAACCATTAAATTACTAACAAGCTCATATTTCTCCTCATCTTTTCTACATGTGATAATATTTTCACAAAAATTACTGATGCTTTTGGGTCCAAGGCATGGAGGACTAACGTCAGCTTCTGGCAGGCCATGCGGATGACGACTGCAGCCGTTGTTAACAGTGAAGGATCGAGGTCGAGGTTTGAAAACGTCGATTTTTTTGGCTGGTGCGGTAGAAGAGCAAGGAATGTTTCTATTTTTCATCTTTGTCTTACAACATGGTTCATGCTTCTTACTCAAATGGGTGTTCCAGTAATTCTTGACATCATTAGCAGTACGACCGGGTAATCTACCAGCAATTAAGGACCACCTAAACATTCATTTTGAACGATTTGAATATATGATTTAGTATTGGATCATTACATAAGAATAAAGTTGGAATTGTGTCTCAAGAAAACAAACCTGTTTCCTAGAAGCTTATGAAGGCGAAGAAGAAGATCAACCTCATCAGAGCTAAGTTTTCCTCTTTTGATACTTGGCTTCAGGTAGTTCAACCATCTTAATCTACAACTCTTCCTGCACCGATTTAGCCCTACAAAACCAATAATTGACAATAACTCTATTAAATGAACGTACTATGACTGCTTTCGTGTCTTCTAAAATTTTATCATGAAGAATCTATGCACACCAATAGAAATAATGTACTTTTTTTACACTCAAACACACGTGTTCGAACAGAAAATTTCACTGAGTTCATTTACTAAAAGACAAACAAATAAAAGAGTCGGCATCTTTTCGTCTTGTCAACAAGAAACTAGCAAAATGCAACGTAAGTAAAATAGTATTTTCTTTTAAATTTCCTTTTACATCTTTAGTCTTGAATACAGGTCTTCGTTTAAGTTTAACATTTGATTTTTCATGAACAACCTTAAAAAGCATGAATCAACAATTTGAAAACAAAAAAGAAAACATTGATTTGTCCACGTTGTTGATTGATTTGCTGAAGTAGATATACAGAAAGAAAATATTCGTAGTGATTAATTATATATATATATATATATTTATATATATATATATATAGTGTGTGTGTTTGTAGTGATTAATTATATATATATATATATATATATATATATTAATTAGTTTTCGATTCGTTGATTCATGTTTTTCTTAAAAAAGATAGTTTGTGTGTGTGTGTGTAAATAACATACCAGCTCTTAAAGGAACTTGATGCCATTTGCCTTCTCCATACTTATCAATGCATTGCCTCAAGAGACTATCTTCTTCAGCAGTCCAAGCACCTTTTCTCAACCCTTTGGACGAGCCCTCCATGGACCAATAAGTATTCTAAAATTATATTGTCGAGGAAGAGGGTTTATATTGTGACTTCACAAATCCTAGCTCGGAGAGCTTTATTTATACACGTGACGAACATAGGCATGTGACGTGCATGTTTGATACCCACATTTCATGTTTATTTTTGTCGTGCTTAATTTGCTAAGTTAGTTAGTTACGTTTTGATACTGATTTAGAACTATAGAAAAGGTTCATAGCACCTAGCTAGTCTCTTCATCTTTTCTTCAGTACTTTATAGAAAAAAACATGTCTCTGAACAAAATTAGGAGAAAGGACAATTAATGACTAGTGGCAGATAGTTCGTATATATGATTACAAGAGGGGGTAAATTCATGCACCAGAATTAGAACATAATAGATAGATAGGAAGGATGTATAAAGATAATTAAGCTTTATTGGCTCGTAGATTTTCATGTGTCGCGTTGTTGATTCTATACTTTTGGCAAAGATGGAAAAGAAATTTACTAACTTTTATGGGATATTAAAAAAATCTTGACTCCATGGTTATCAAAATTTTCAGCTATAACCAGTAGCGGATTTAGAACAAAATTTAATTGGAAGCATAAGTTTATAAGCAAGAAAAAAATTAGTTGAGAGCAATTTTTTCTTTTTTATCACTAGATTAAAAATAATTTAAATAAATTTACCTAAATTTTTAAGAAAAAATAAAAAAGAGTAGGGGCACATGACTCCACTACTCATTCACTGCCTCCGCCCCTAGCTATAACACTATCCTTTATAATCCAAAAACAATAGATGGTAATGAATGGTCTATCATTTTTTCACGTTTTCACGTTTTCAAAATATGATTCCGCTATTTTTTATTATGAACAATATTTATCAAAATTTTATATTTTTATGATTATTAAAAAGTACTTCTGTTATATACAAATAACATGTTAAAAATATAACTATAAAAAATTATAATTTATCTACTAAAACTAACTTTTCACTATTTTATAATTATTTTACAAAAATTTGATCTAGTTCAGTTTTTCTGCTAACAATTACTCAGTTATGCTGCTATTATGCTATCCATCTGACATAGTCAAACACTAAATAAAAATGTAATAGACATAACATTTTTCGTAAGGATTATTACATAATCTAACTTTTTTAAAGAAGTTTCCACATAACAAGTGAATATTTTTATTTATTTTATAAATTACTAGATAAGTACTCGCATATATACTAGTTATAATTTAATATTTTATAACCCGTAAATATAAAAAATAGAAACGAAAAAATAAAAATAAAATAAAACAAAATTAGATCATCCATAATTAAGCTTTTTCAGTGATTATATATATTTTTCTTCAATCATTTTTCAATGATCATATTCTTTTTTTGAATTGAATGTAAAATTTATTCAATCAAATTAAAGCCTTTTTACATCAGAGTGCATCCGAGTTTGAGAAAATCTAAATACAGCTTAGAAAACTTTTTAGTCTCTAGAGTCAAACCAAAACATAAGGCTGTCCTCATAATCTTGGTCCCCCATAAGTCTGATCGAGCTAAGTCTGTTTCTCACGGTTCTATCGATGAGCTTTGTTAGTTTTTGACGCGGAGAAGGGTCTTCACCATGTCGGCGGCCATTTCTTTCTCTCCAAATAGCATGAATTGTGGCTTGGAGAGTGTATTTGAGGACGAACCGGTAAAATTTCGTCTGAGTACGATCATGTATGAGTTGCATCAAGTCCTCCCATGTTGTCATGAATCTGCTCTTGAGTATGCCTTTGGCGAGCTTCGTCCATAACTAAGAAGAGTATGTGCAGTTGAAGAACAAATGGTGCTTCGTCTCCATAGGGTGTTGACAGAGTGTGCAGGATGGAACAACATTAGTATTCCACTTCACCATTCTGTCTCCAGTCGCCAGTCTGTTCTGCATCACAATCCAGTAGAGAAAACTGAATTTTGGCGTGGCGTACTTAAACCAAACAGCGTCAGTCCAAGAACATTGTAACAGAGGTTCCCGAATGAGGAGCCAGGTAGCTTTTGAGTTTAATTTCGGTTTGAAAGTGTCTGCGCTACACTTCCATTTGACTATATCAGCTTCCTCGAAGTTTGCAGACTCTCTAACCTGACTGATTTTCTCTTCTACTCTGTTTAGAAGCACCGCTATGTGTCTTCTTCGTCTGTGATTTTTTAGAACAGTTTCCACTGTGGAGTTGATTGAAATACCCAGATCAATACACCTGTGGGAACCTAAGAGTTCATCCAATCTTCCGAGAGACGACCAATGGTCATGCCAAAACGAGTTATCCCTTCCACTTCGGATTTCCACCCTCTGGAATAGTCTCGCCAATGGTCTGAGCTTAAGGATCTTGCGCCACATCCAGGATCATATGTTTTGTTTTTCCTTTACAGACCAGAATGATTTTTTAGCAAGTAGGTTCATGTGAATCCACTTTGCCCATAATGAATCTCGACAAGCCAAGATCCTCCAAATCAGCTTTCTTTTGTGTTTCCAATAGGAGTCTGTAGTACCCGAGCTTCATCTGCTGGTGGGAAAAGAGCATTTACCAAACCAGATCTCCAAACCCCCTCAGTAGAAATTAGCGATGATACATTGAGCTCGATATCCACCATCCTCTGTTTATTCATATGTCTCCGAGGGTGAATATCCATGATCCATTTCTTGTTCCAGATTTTTGTATCTCTACCATTGCCAATGGATTTAATCAAACCACGCTGCAGCAATTCTCTTCCAAATAGGATACTTCGCCAAGCATACGAGGGACGATATCCTTGTCCACACTCAAGAAAATCATTTGAAGCGAAATATCTTCCTTTGTAGACTCGAGATAGAAGAGAGTTAGGGTCGTTCAGGATTTTCCAGGCTTGCTTTGCTAGCAGAGCTTGGTTGAAATCACTCAGATCGCGAAATCCTAACCCCCCTTTGGCTTTCGACTTACACAGTTCTTTCCAAGATACCCAGTGAATCTTGTTCTTCTTTTCTATTGCATTCCATCAAAAACTTGTCATTGCGCTTGTAATATTTTCCAGTTGCATCTTAGTTAACTTGAAACATGACATGGCATACACTGGAAGGGCCATAGCAATAGACTTCAACAGAGTTTCTTTGCCCCCGAGAGACAGAAATTTTGCATACCATCCAGTCAATCTCTTTTTCAATTTCTCTCCAATAAAAGCCAAGAGTTTTTGTTTTTGTTTCAACCCACTGAAGCAATATTCTGGCAAACCCAGATACTTTCCATCTCCACCCTCTTTCTCAGTACCCAAAGATGCAGCTAAAACCTTACGCATGTATGGATTGATGTCCTCCCCGTAGGTAACAGCCGATTTTTGAAAATTGATTTCCTGACCAGAGGCAGCTCCATACAGACGCAATCAACGTAAAAATTCCTCACATTCTTTGAGAAAGGCTCGGCATAAGAACAAATTGTCGTCCACAAACAACAGGTGCTGGATCGAAGGGCATCTATTGGTTAACTGCATTCCTGAAATCTTCCCATCTTTCTCAGCTTTGTTCATGACATGAACAAGAGCCTCTGCACATAAGATGAAAAGGAAAAGGGAAAGAGGATCGCCCTGGCGAATGCCCCGTTCAGTTTTTATAAATTCATGTGACTGCCTGTTGAGTAGAATGGTGTAGGAAACAGTTCGTACACACTCCATGACCCAGCGAATCTATTGCTAATCAAACCCTAGTTTTTGAAAAAGCACCTCCAAAAATCTCCACTCTACCCTATCATATGCCTTTGACATGTCTGTTTTGATGGCAATGTAGTCCGCCTTGCAATTTTGATTGGTTCGCAGCCCGTGAATCATTTCATGTGCCAAGAGGAATTTATCAGAGATAAGCCTTCCTTCTACAAAAGCTCCCTGTGTTTGAGACACCAATGACAGTAGGATTTTCCTCAGGTGATTACACAAGATCTTGGATATAATCTTGTATGTCACCGGGCATAGACTAATTGGTCTCAAGTCAGTCATCGCATTTGGGTTTGGAATCTTCGGTAGAAGGCATATCTGAGTGTATTTCCAATCTGATGGAAGAACACGGGTTACAAATAAATTTTGAACCTCAAGCACCAGTTGTGGACCAAAAATGCTCCACTAAGTTTGAAAAAACTTCCCAGGCATTCCATCAGCACCTGGTGCATTATCACCTTTGAGTGCTTTAACCGCCATTGTAATTTATTGAACTGTTACCGGTTTCACCAAATCTCTGTTTATGCGTTGGGTGATTCTTGGTGTCATCCCTTCAAGAAGCTCCACCGGGTCATCCGGGTTTGAAGTTCGGAACAGATTAGTGTAAAAATCTACAGCAATAGCTTCCTCAGTGAACTGTTCTCGTCCATTATCATCCAGCAATGCATTGATGTGATTCTTCATTCGTCCGAGACTTCACACAGTTATGAAAGAATTTTGTGTTCTGATCTCCTTCCTTTAGCCAAGACTTCTTGCTTTTTAGCTTCCCGTAAGTTTCCTCCTCTTTTGAAGCCTGTGCCATTTCTAGTTTTAGCTTCTACATCTTATTAAAATTTGGGTTTTTTTTGGAACTCTCCTCATCAAATTCCTTCTGAAGCTTCTGCAAAGTAATCTTAGAGTTCCGGCTAGATTCTCGTTTCTACCGAGCCAGCTCTTTACAACAATCGGTTATTCTATCCAAGATGCTTCTCCTTCCAGTATCACGGTTCCATCCTCTGCAAACCACCTCTACAGATTCTGGATTGACAGCACATCTTTTATCAAACCAGAATTTTCCCCGATGCTTTTCCACATTCCTGTTGAATCGTGTCAGCAAAGGTCTGTGATCGAAACTCCATCTTTCCAAATAATCTGAATGTGATCGAGGGAAGAGACGAAACCACTCTGAATTCTCAAACGCTCTGTCCAGGCGACATTGTATCTGTACCAGTTCTTTTACTCCATTTGCATCTATGATCTCACGTCTTCCTGCCCATGACAATTTATTACCCGAGCTTAAAATTTTCTTCAGACGACAATTTCTCACAAAATTCCTGAAAGGGGTAAAAGTACTCTCAGCACGCCGAGGGTCACCCATCT